AACATATTAAGAAAATTAATAATTAAAAGTGACCTATACATATATGGCTTCAGGAACTTAAAGGGTTAGTTGCAAGAAAGTAAACACAATTTACGAATAAGACATAATGGCAAAAATAAACATATTTATAATTTTATTTTGATAAGAAATATTATTCAAAGGATTCTGTAATCTATATAAAAAGAAGGCCAAGTTAGACATTCTTAAATTAACCAAACATTCTAAAACATTCAAACTAAAACATAGAAGAAGAAACTATTCCAACAGAATTTTGCAAATGATCAGAATTGTACACATTTTTATTTTCAAGGGTACGTAATATTAGGCCCAAACTATTGCAGAAGGCCTTCAACCTAGAAGATGGATCTTAAAGGTTCTAGCAATCAATTTGAAGAATGTGAAGAATCAATCTTTCCCCTCGCAATGTATTTTCCAACAAGAAAACTTTCACTTTCATTTACCATAGAGACTGATGTTAGACACTGCAGATCTTTTATCTGAATAAAGCCATCACACTCCTTTGTGAACCAAGCATAATTAGAAATAGAAGAGCTAGTTATTGACAGAGAGAAAGAGGAAACTAGGGACATAGACAGGGTTTGTGCATCATTATCTTTGTGTCTTCAATTCCTCATTTGATCTTGTATGCCATTCACATGATGCAGCATATCTTTTTGGTAAATCACAAGTGGGAGACAATCTTGCTGATGTCTGATAAGACCAAGATGCATGGTTGTGATCAATAAACATCATGGTTTCTTTCTGCGTTCCAATCTATATATAGTTCTATATAGACTAGTATCAAACTCCCAAACCCACAGAATTTTTCACGTTGAACATAGTCGTTAGGGAAATAATAGTGATATCAGATTTTGGTTTGAAACAGAGAGATATGCTTTTTATCTTCCATTTTGATTCTGCAATCACCTTGATTCAGATTGATGGGAGAAGATTGAAATCCATCACATTTTTGGGACGTACTAGAATATTCACTCATACCCGTAATGCAAAATATCTCTCGATTACCATAGTTTATGATCAACCTTTTTCTTTCTCAATTTCACCATCACTCATAGCATAACATCATTCCCTAAAGCTTCTCAAAGTACAAGTCCATAAAATGTAAACTATTACAATTTATTTTCTTTTATACATAAAACCAAAGTGAAAGAGACAGAGACCTTTTAGGTTCCACATTGATAATTATACAAAAGTGTGAGGCGCCGCTTCCATATATTTTCTGCATTTTCCTATTCCTTACTTGATTCTTCAACACACAAAATAATAAAAAAAAAAAGGAGAAAAATATATTTCTTACAACTTTTCATATTAATTTTTAATTATAAGAATCCACTCATTGAAAAAGTTGCCAAATCGTGAAGAACTCTTTATTGGTTAGTCCGTATCCTGCATTCTTCGAAGCTATTATTGGAGAAAAGAGAGGGATTATTTTTACTTGAAAATATTCGGGAAAAACAAATACACATAGTGAATTGATGGGATGGGAAATGTTAATGTTTTGATAATTAAACTTTACGTGATTAGTTTATGCAAGATTTAAAAATTATTTTTAGACTATCAGTGGCACGATACTGCAAATTGTTCTATGAACATGTTTTATTTAAGAAGACCGATAGAGTGGTCTGGTCCATGAATTATTTCTCGTACTGCCTATAAAAAGCTAAATTATATATATATATATATATATATATATATATATATATATATATATATATATATATATATACTTTAAGTTTAATTATTAACTTAAGTTTTTTTTTTTGAAAAATTGATTTCGGTCCTATTATTTTTAAAATATTTTGGTGCGCTGAACTTCTTATTTCAATAACCATATCTCAGAAAGAATGTGGTGTAATGATTCATCATTTGACTTTTCAAATTTAACTAAAAAAAAGGTTAAGCTCCAAATAATTAAAAAAATCTAATAGGTTAAAGTATTTTGATTTAGACTCCAGATACTTATTATTTCTCTTTCTTCAATTGAATCTATTTTATTCAGAACATGTTTCCTTTAAAAGAAAATCTCATGATATTTTTTAGTTAGCAACTTTGAGAACTATTTGGATGTCTTCAAACATTATGGTTTTAAAAATGATTGGAGAAGACAAAGATCTTACTCAGTATTTCCTAAAATATTTGTAATGGATTGGGCAGATATTCACTCAAAGTTAATTGACAGCGAATAATTATATAATTTAAAAGTATTATATTAGAGATTATGTTTTGCTACTTTTAAGATAATACAATATTATGTTCGAACAATTTAATAATAACATTTTAATTTATTTTTACTATTTGATTTCTAAATTAAAAAAAATATCGATAAACAAAAAAATATGATAATTGTAGAAATATTTTTTTAATATTCATTACGATGCAATATTATATTTTTCGTGTGAAAATATAATAATCACGAAATTTCTACTTTTTTTTTTGTGAAATTTGAACCTAGCAAAAAATTGTTTTATTTTTCGCATGAGTGTGCTATATCCTATTTGGAGGAATGAAGAAAATAGTGAATTATTGTTTTTTTGGAAAAAATAATAAAACGGTCGATTCTATATATCTTTTCGCAAATGGATATGTTTTTTTATAGACATAATTTGAAATTATATATTTTGAAACAAAATATTTTATATTATCATTCAATAGCATATCATCAAATATGATATGTTTGATGTTTATCATAATTGTGTTAAAAAATGTCTATGATTATTTGTACGTAAATGATAATTAAAATTATTTTACACTATTCCGTCATTATTATTAATAAATTCAATAGAGATTATAAAATCATATTTATACTTAAATATATGTGCATCTTGAAATAATTGTACGGTTTTCCCTCTAAAAAAATTTAAAAAATAACGTGAAATTGAAAAAAAAAATCTCTTTAAAAAAATCAATATAAGAATTGTTGTTATATCACATTCCTCTTTTTATATCTTGCCAAAAGAAAGATTCTTTTTTATGACTCACTTTATTTTCTTAGCTTTCTCTTTCCATCCTTAATCAAATCACAATTAAAAAAAAAAAAACTTTTTCTCTCTCTTTTTTTTTCCTCTTCAAAAATCAAAGAAAGTGTTAAGCATAGAGTCTCAACATAGTTGTGATTCATTTGTTCCCTTCTCAATTCATTTCCATTTAAGCAAAAGCACGATAACTGTCCCCATAAATAATACAATATAAAATTTTAGTAATAAATTCTCTGGTTAGAGGAGAACCAGAAAATGTTGAAGTTTCATCCCCAACCACTGATGACAATGACATGTCAGGGATGAACAGGAAAAACTCTGTTTGTCCATAAAGGTTTTGTTGTCGCACACCGTTTTCTAACAAAATAACAACAACAATTTAGGAACTTTATATTGTTATTCTACTCATCACCTTGCTCTGCATAATTTTTGTAAACTAGATCTAAACTAGTCCTTCTCAATGAATTGGCCCATATCACATTGCAATGATTCATTCATCTTATACACTAATTTCTCTATCAACATTTTACTGGCCACTAATGTTGGAACATCCAAGTAATAATTACACCCCATAATGCTCTTTGATGAGAAAACTAGAATCAAAATTCAGAATCAGAACCAGAAACAACCTAAAACAGAGCTTTGCTCAAGGTTCATGCCATCCAGCCAATCCCAGAGGTCAAACTCTACTGTGCTAGTAATCTAGTGATCACCTTTGCACGATGCCACTGCCACTAACCAAACGAGTTCCCAATCATATCCATACCCAAAAGAACAAAATGCTTAAACTAAAGCCATATCACTCTCACTTATAGTAGTAACATAGCTTAACAATGCATTATTAGAATATAATGGGAAAGCAGGGTGGGGACTTTCAATTCCTTTTACCACAAATTTTATCGCTTTGGACTTTTCTTGATCCAACCACACTTTTTCCTTTACTTCTTTTTTCCCCCTTACTTTGTAGTGGGGTGAAGTACAACATGGCTTTGCAGTGCATAGACACTGATGATGAATGAATCTGTCCTCCCCATTTGGGGGTCCAAAAGAATTTCTTCTTTTTTCCCACTTCAGAAAAAAGAAGGAAAAGCTATCAACTTGAATTTAATTCTGTCATGATAACAACTCAAAACAGTATAGAAAGTGATTGCATTTGCAGCATTATGTAACCGCCTCTTCTCAAAGGATGACTGACACCGACGAACTACTGTGTCATTTTCCCGAGTGAAACAATAGGAATAATGGTAAATGAAATACACCACTGTCTGCTACTTGCAAAAGCATAATATCTATCATGTCTCAATCACCTTCTATTGTGATCCACTACAGAATTACACATCACAGTGTCAAACAGTAGAAGTAGGAATATAGGATCGTTCCTTTTGTATCTCAATCATATTTTACCTTTGTTACCTCCACTACAGTCTTAATTCAAAGCTTAACAATTAAAAGCAAAATAATTGAAATTCATGTAAAGTTCTACACTTGCTTCACCTCTTGCAGAAAATTACAAAATTATAACTCTCTTTGATCAACCCTATGCCCACACTAAACACAACCATGAAAAACTTAAAATTATGCGATCAAAACTAAGGTTCTAAATTATAGTCGCAGTTACATTTATAATTCAAATATTGCCAGAAATTACAGATAAATACGATGTAGAACCATTTGTCTTAGAAATCTCAAAAACCTTGATGTTGTGACTCAAGTCATGGCCACAGATAGTTTTTTAAAACCTTGTACAAGACATACCCAATTGTGGTCTAATATAACTTTAACTCTCCAAGTCATTAACAAACCCCATATCAATATGCACAACTCTATGTACACAGCAACCTTGACAGAAGCAGAGTAAGACGGAAAAAAAGAGGACGAAGAAGAAGAAAATTACTTATTTTCTCTATATATTTTTTTAAAAAAAATGGGGTTGGAAGCCTATAATATGCAGATTATAACGATATAGACATGACAGACATAGCCCTAGGCAAAGAAGAAGAACTGTTACAGATCAGAAGGTGACTCCGAAATACTCTCCAGGTGAGGCCTCCACACTGCAACACGCCCTCTTCTTCTGTCTCTTTGCGTTGACACTTTCTCTGAAAGTATATCAGTCAGGTAGCGATCAGAGACAAGCAAGCTAGTCATAGTCATGGACACGTTGGTGTTGTTCCTACTTCTCTCTCTCTGTTCCTTCTTATTCTTCTTCTTCCGCTGCTGCTGGTTCTTCTCCAGTGGAGGAGGAGGAGAGGGAGGGAGTGGCATGAGGAAGTAAATCTTCCCACGTTGGAGCTCTGCATCGGGTGGCACCACCACGATCTTGTGGACCCCACTTCCGCTGCCGCCGTCGACGGCGGCGGAGCATGGCTTCTTGAGGACGTGTTTGGGGTGTGCCTTCATGACATCACTGGCCTTGATGGTGCCTGTGATTTCCTGAACTCGGCCATTGGAGTGCACTATGCGAATGACGTCGAGAGCCCCACATGGGAGGATGCAAGAGATGCAACACCTTATGCAGTTTATCATGGCTTTTTCCCTCCCTTCTTTAGCATTGGTGTCTTCTCCAGCGAGAAGAATAGAGAAAGGTGGAGGTGTAGAAAATGTAAATAATATACTGATTTCCCTGTTTCAGAATTCAGATTATCTTTCCCCCTTTCTCCATTTTAACTAATCTTTAATTAGAGAAGCCGAATCAATCCTATTAATGTATTTTCATCCAAATTATCCTTCTCTTTATCATCATCATCATCCATTTACTATTCTAATATCAATATACAATAGTTAATTTAAATTTTTTATATTTTAATTACTAGATTAATATATAAATCTTTTAACTCTTATTTTTTTAAGAATAATATATATAACTTAAAAAAATATACGAAATTGGATTATCCTTTCAAACTAGAATATGATTATTAAAAAAAGTACATTAAATTATTTATTCATGAAATTCAAATTCATGTCTTAGTGAGCCATGAACTATTTTGATTGATTTTAAATAATTAAATTAAAAAATAAAATAAAAATGTCCATATTATGTTTTTAGACAATAATATAGTGAAAAAGGAAAATACTAAGTAAAGTAGAAATGAAAATATTCTAATTTAATTAAAGATTTCCCCTCCCACCCCTATATTGAAAAATTGTTCATTTTTCTTTGGCTGCTATTGAATAGGTGGGAGGAAATTCATGGGATGAATAATTGCAGAACACCCTGTAGTTTGGCTTTTGATACATTATTTAGGGACCCTACCCTAATCCCTCGAGCTAACACTCTCTTCCCTTTATTGAGTTCAATAATATTAGGTGGTGACTGAAAGATTGGGATACTAATGGTATATTGAAGGATGGGACTTCTAAGCAATCAAAAACTTAGGACCCCTTTTTAATGTTTCATGAAAGAAAAGACATACGTGTCTCAATAGAAGGTTGACACATGTAGACCCCTGAATGAATAGGGTGGTGAAGTAGGGTCAGTGAATGAGAGAAAGAGAATGTGTTGTGTTTGGAGTGAAATGGGTTATGGGGGGTGTGAGAGCTGGGAAATGGAATACAGCAGAGAGGAGATTTTCTTGCAGGAGGAGTGTTTGTGATCGTTCAATATCCCCAAGCAAAATCATGTGGATTGTGGTTTTCATTGGAAAGTGAAGTGAAATGGCTTTTAGGTATGTGAAGTGCTTTGACTATGGCCAATGTGTTTGTCTACTAGCCACAGCTCCAAGAGCAACCCTTCCAAATGCTTTATCCGTTTCGTTTTCTTTCTTTTCATACATGGAATTTCACCATTTTGGCCATCTATCATACATTATACATTGAATTAAAGTCAAGTACACCCCACTTTTCTATTCTGTCCATTAGTACCATTACCATATTCACATTGATGAGGTAATCATAGCAAGGTTTAATAAACATTATTGGCACACTGCAAAACTCAGTTAGGCTTCAACCTTAGTAATCACTACTTTCTTAGAGGTAATGAGACCATGATTCTGAAGTATTATTGTCTACACAGATATTTTCACTCTGTATTCACTCATACGAGATCCATGCAAAATTTAATGACAGCTCAAACCAAAATGGTAGTACAACCTAGGTACCTCAGAAAGATACCTAATACTATCTATACTAGAAAGCTACACGACAAGAGATCATGTTACTCTCGATTCCTGTGTTATAAGCTAAAAAAATTTCCACTTCAAATGTCATAGTTCTTTTCTGAAGACTGGACTAACCGAATGACACACACACACACACAGAGACAAACACGTTATTTTGTCACGAATGCCACCAAGGTGTAGTTTTATTCTTGTTATGTAAAGAGCGGTTGCTCCAAACTTCAAAGAGGCTTTAAGTAAAAAAGCTAGATTTCAAAAGTAAGATATAATGAGATGAAGAAAGTGATTTGTCCTAATCTCTTAGGGGTCTAGAAAGGTTTGGGTGATTGATATGATTTAGTATATTATTATGTGTTGTGGAACTTTTAATTTAGCAGGGAAGGTAGGTTGTGAGAGTTGGGGAAAAGGAAGAGATGCAGTTGTAAGAAGTATTTAATTAGAGGTTAATCTGAGTTATGTCACATCCATAATGTGGGTCCAGTTTTTAATAGGTGGAGATATAGATGTTAGTGGGAATCATGTGAAGAGTGAGGGAGGGTCCAAAGTGGGGTTTGATATTCTATTTGCTCTGTATCATCCAAATTTGGATGCCAAGTTAACTTCGTTTTATGATGCGGATAAGACTTGGTTTAGAAATTTACATATTCCCTCGTACGCAGAGAGACCAGCTATATTCCCCATGAGGAATTCGCATTCATTTTTTTTTTTTTAACACTTTATAGAAAAAATGTTATGGTCTTCCCATTGATAAGAAATGTGAAGTTTTATTAAACTACTTCATCATAAAGTTATAGGTTTTAAACATTCATTTGGATGGAGTATAATCTATTATTAACTAGTTTAATTCCTTGTAAGAACATGTTAAAGAAACAAATTTCTTCTTTATTTGTGTTGCATGAGATTAACTAGCTCCTATTCAAGTTTGAGTCATAAATTCAAAAACATGTGACTAATATAAGATCATAATGAAAATAAAAGTGTTGAGAATTAAAAATAGAAGACGTAAAAGATGGAATACTGTAAGGAGTGACTCGCTACTTGAGTTAGACTTCAGATAAATAAGAAGAAAAATTACTATTTAAATTTTTAAGAATTTCAAGATAAAACTTAAAGAGAAAATTTCACATTCTAAATAATATAACACTCAATATTCCACCAAGTAATCCCATTCAATCAAAAGTGTTCTATAAAAAGGTAAAAGTTTTTTTTTTTTTTTTCTTTTTCATAGAAAAGTGACCAGCACCAAACCCTTCCAAAATGCACCAAAATCTACACTCAAATGAAAATGTCACCCAATCTGGTCCAAAATTAATTTGGATGGATTTAATTAAAAAATAAATTTTAAGTATATTTTTTAGAATATATTCGGATTTATTTCGGACCTACTTAACTTTGTTTTATTTTAAATATAAAATTTTTGTATTATTGAATATTAATAATAATTTTTTTCAATAAAAAACAATTTTCATATCATGATATGGTATTTATATTAAATTTATTAATCTGAAAGTATATATCATAAAATATAATTTAATTAAGTTTTATATTTTTAGTATATTTGTATTATATATAAAAGAAATTTATATTTTTTTAACTTGTTTTTTATGTCATAATTTATAATATCATATTATTTTTTAAAAATAACAGAAAAAAGATAAAAAAAATGTAATACCTGTAAAACGGGTGAGATATATGAAGAGAAAAAAATTCAAAAAATTAAAATAAAATTAATAAAAAATATAAACGCAGGCCCCGTGGTTTTACTAGTTATACTAAAATTGATGTTTTATATTAAAAGATGGAGTGATACGGTGTTATCCAACTTGTTTTTTATTTTACATTAAAATTTATATTTAAATTAAATAATATAATTTAAATTTTGAGTGAGACAAAAATAATAAATCCGATTCATTGTGCTTAGAAAGCCTTCTTATGCAAGGCTTTAAGAACATGCATAAAGGCACTTGCTTTTTATACCTCCATAATTCTTAATTGCACTTCCTTTCTTTTGGAGAAGTTTTGTTCGATTGTAAGGAAAGATAGGTTCTACTTTTCCAAGGCCTCCAATGTGTTTTCTTGGTCCAATTTTTGTGTTTGCTGTTAATGGATTTCATCTTAGTTTCCTATAGATTAGGTTTGGGCTTCTTCTAGTTTGCCTTAATGGGCTATATGTTCGGTTGTGTTGATAAAGAGTGAAATGAGATAAAGGAAAGATGCATATAAAAGGTCGCGAAGCAGGTTAAAGCAAAAGGCACGAAGCAAAGGAAGAAAAACCATCTGAGAATATTTTAAAGCACATGCAACAACAAAGGGACGATGGTTCCATTTTTTACTTTCACATTAATTATAGAAAAATATGTTCCGTGTTTTAGTTTGTCTTTCACATCTGTACAACGTGGAAGACTCATTGTCACACAGAACCATAGATGTAAATTTGATCTTCACGGGTCAAAGAGAAGAGTAATCCACTCTTCGACCAGCTCTAACGGGAGCAGACATGTGTGTTTCTGAGTTCTCTTTGGTTGGGTAAGATGCAAAAAAGTTCATCCCACATACTCCTAATAAATTACCAGTGTTTCTTTGGATCCAAATGTAACCATCCATTCCCCATGAATTTTTTGCTATCTAATAATCTACACCATCCACTGAACCATAACCCACAATTAGAATAAAGTGGTTTACCCCATAAGGACTTGAACAATTTCCTCCATCATAAATGCCCTGCACAAACCATTAAAAATGAAAATACTAATGATAATTATGATTATAACAATAACTTCCAAATTGCAAGATATTGGTTTATAAATGTTATTACTTAGGCCAACGTAGAAATGAAAATCTTTTGCATCAATGGACACACTAATTGGTTGGTCAAGGGTGGCGCACAAGAGTGCTTTTTCATCTTGGCAAAATTTGGTTCATGTATATATATGATACATAATTTAAATGTGTTAGGGCTATTATTTATTAAGCCAAATAATAAAGTGATCTGACTAAATTAAAGTTTTTTGGCTGAAGGCATATGTCATGAAAATAAAATTGTGTAGATGCTATAGAGTAATTTCTAATTTGATGAGGGACCAAATTGAAAATACTAAAACTTAAGTAATTAACCTAATTCTGGTTATTTAAAGGGTCATGGTCCCCTTCTGGGAGCACACACACAGAACATAAGTATCAGTCCCGTTCCTTTCTTTCTATCCCCATCAAGAGAGAAAATCCAGAGGGAAATACAGGTGCTCTCCAGGTGGAAGACCATAAGAGGAGAATAATCTCTAATTTTCATCATCCTAAATTCCATTTTGCGGGTAAGATCCCAATCCTTTTTTTCGGAGTTGCGGTTTGTGTGTCTCTGTGTGTGGTTGCATTCAGAATGTCAAAGGTTTGGAGAAATCATCTTCCCGACGCTGCCACTATCTGAAAATCACCATCTCTGGGTTTACTCGAAAACGTTTTTGGGATTTACCAAAACCCTAAAATTTCAATTTAGACCTAAACCCCTAATTCTTTGCTCCTTCTCTCTGCTGCCGCCACTCACCACTAATGGCGCTCCCTATCCAGTGCTGGTGGAGATGTTCACGTCGCAGGGGTGTGCGGCGTCTCCGTCGGCGAACCTGGTGCTTCACGGGCAACAATAATGGTTGCATGTGTTTAGTATCGTGAGCTTTCATCTCAGAGAAGCCGAAATGCCCTTTACATGTTCCAGATTAACCCTTAAGCGTATTGGTAATTGTCCTCAGCAAAATGTGGTTCTAGGACGCAGGGGAAATACTGCGATTCCCAAAATCAATAAATATTGTGAATCCCAATTTTGATTTTGAAATAAAACAATCCCAAAAGTTTCATCTCTCTCGTGAGTTTCGCACCCGTTAGAAGTAAATCCCCGATCTAGTAATTTCTCGTGGGTTTTGAACTCTTAATTCCCAAAAAAAATGGTGGGTTGCTGCTTCGCGGTTGTTTTGCTGCAATCTGAATTTGATGGTATAATCTAAGATGGTAAGTGGCAATTGTCAACACACAAACAATGCCATATGCCTTGGTTATTGGCGGAAGAGAGTGGTCCCCATTTTTGGCAGTACCGCTTGTTTCTATGCTCCTTTATGTTTGGAGTAGAGAATTTTTAAAGCCCAAATCAACGTATATGGGCCTGTTGCTCTTAAGGCCTTCTATCTTCCATGGGCAATGCTTGCTTTGGATGTCATTTATGGCTCGCCTCTTATACCTGACCTCTTAGGTATCAGGACATATGTACTAATTCTTGATAGTGTTGCATCCATTAGAAGGTGGAAAGAACATTTTGAAGACTCCAATGTGGGTACGTAAATTGGTTGGAAGGTGAAGAATTGGAATGCAACCAATTAGTCGTGCGCAACCTGCTAATAACCCTCAACAAGAGAGTGACTTCGGAGTTGTTTTCAGGGGAAGGTCCTAACATCTTGGTGGTTTAATATTTGGTTTTGTTATATAAATAAAATATTCAATTTTAATTTTTTGGTAGTTTAATATTTTTTTGTGAGCAAATTGAGTCAAGAAGTCACCAAAGTAACTTCTCTTGAATTGGGTAGTTCGTGAAAAATATTGAATGTTAGTGTTTGTGTATATTCATGCGAATATTAGTCGGCCCAAAGGAAGATTAATATTTGACCAAATTGCATACACACTTGTAATGATAAACATGTGATAATTATAAGGATTTGCTTTGTCGATGATAAATCAATCCAAAAATTGGTTTGTTGTTGGACGTATTTTATTATCAATGTTTAATTATTACAACAAGATACCTATAACAGTTAATATTATTGTCCAAAGACTTGATATTGATGGTGCATTGGGTGTCTTGAGATGGGTTAAACCATTATTTGAATATATATTTATATTTATTTATTTTATAATGTGAGCATAATTAGTTTATTTCTTTTGTTCTAATCCAGCTACAATTGCTTCTGTATCTGCCAATTTGAATTCTGTTCCGATTCTCAATGGAACAAATTTTAAGGACTAGAAAGAGAACATTGATATTATTCTTGGCTGCATGGATATGGATCTTGCGTTAAGGACTGAACAACCCCCTACTCCTACGGATTCAAGTACCTCTGAACAGAAGAGAGATTATGAGAAGTGGGATCGCTCAAATCGCATGAGTCTAATGATCATTAAGCGCGGCATCCCGGAGGTGTTTAGGGGAACTATTTTTGAAACATCACAAGTGCCAAAAAATTTCTTGCTGAAATTGAGCAGCGCTTTGCAAAAAGCGATAAGACGGAGGCAAGCACTCTTCTTCAGAACTTGATCTCCATGAAATATCAGGGCAAAGGAAATATTAGGGAGTACATTATGAGCATGTCTAATATTGTTTTTAAACTCAAGACACTAAAGCTTGAACTCTCAGAAGACTTGCTCATTCATTTGGTGTTGATTTCTCTTCCTGCAACGTTTAATCAGTTTAAGGTATCTTACAACTGTCAGAAGGATAAATGGTCTCTTAATGAGCTCATTTCACATTGTGTACAAGAAGAGGAAAGACTAAAGCAAGACAAGACAGAAAGTGTTCATTTTGCAAGCACCTCCAAGGCTAAGGACAAAAGAAAGAGATCGGAGGATCCCAATAAGGAAACTGCTAAGGGTCTAGAACAAAAGAAACAAACTCAAAAAAATAAATGTTTCTTTTGCAATAAAACTGGACACGTAAAGAAGAAATGTGCTAAATATCATGCTTGACGTGAAAAGAAAGGGTTGCCTAAACTACCAGAAGCCAACTGATTCTGAAAGATGGATATACGTTGGAGATGACAAATCGGTGGAGATAGAGATTATTGGACATTTTAGATTATTATTGTGTACTATTTTTTTTTAATTTTATTTTGTTTTAGATTTAAAAGATACTTTTGCCATGCCATCTTTTAGACGGAATTTGGTTTCAGTTTCTTATTTGGACAAATTAGGTTATTTGTGTTTATTTGGAAACAATGAGTTCAGTTTGTCTTTTAATTTAGATATTGTTAGAACTTGTTCACTTTTGGCTCATGATAATCTATATTTACTTGATATTGTGACCACCTATAATGAAACTTTTAATACAGAATCTCGTGGTACTAAACGTAAAATTGACAATACTCACTCAGGTGCATTATGACACAGGCGCTCAGGTCACAATCTAATCGTGGCGCTTGGACTTGTGTTACACTCTTAAAGATATGGTAAGGAGTATGATTTGTCATTCCACCTTACCAGAATCACTCTAGGGAGAGACACTAAAGATTGCAGCTTATATTATAAATAAAGTACCAATTAAAGCAGCTACCAAAACACCTTATGAGCTTTGGACTAGGAAAAAGCCTAGTTTGAAGCATTTCCATGTGTGGGATTATCCAGCTGAGGCAAGGCCTTATAGTCAAATGAAAAGAAATTGGACTCCCGAACAATAATTAGTTACTTCATTGGTTATTCTGAAAGATCCAGGGGATATAAATTTTATGATCCCACATTAAAGACAATTTTTGAGATGAGAACTGCTATGTTATTTGAGGATATTGAGTTTGGGGGGAAGAATAAGATTAAGAATTTTGTATTGGAGGAAGAATCGACAATAAATCCAGAACCGATTCAAACAGTTACTTTTGATAAAGTAAGTTCGGAACCTCCACAAGACATTGATGATGAACCCCATATTCAAGATGATTTGATTGTTCATCAAGACCAAACTCAAGATCCTCAAGAACCTGTGCGTCATGAGCCAGGGATACTCTAGTTACTAAGGGAGAAAAGTTTAGTCTAAATTAGTACCCAAAGGGGAATTTGAAAATTGAGAAAATGTAGAAGATTCCCCATGCATCAGCTATCGGGAGTTTGATGTATTCCCAAATATATACGCGTCCAGACATAACATACATAGTTGGGGTTCTAAGCAGATATTTAAGCAATCCAGGAATAGACCATTGAAAAACAGCAAAAATGATCATAAGATATTTAAAAAGAACAAAAGATTGTATGCTCACATACAAGAGGTCAGACCATTTGGGGATTGCTGGGTTTTCTGACTCAAATTTTGCAGGATGTCAAGAATTTGTAGCATGCTATGAGACATCAAATCATGGAATATGACTGAGAAATTTTGTCACAGGGCTGCAAATTGTGAAAGACATTGAAAGACCACTTAAGTTATATTGAGACAACAAATTAGCTGTATTGTTAAGGAAATAGTACAAAGTGGACAAATTTTTATAGAACACTTAAGGACAAACTCCATGATAACAGATCCTCTAACTAAAAGACTTCCGTCCAAGGTCTTTCATGAGCATGTTGCTCACATGGGTGTTTTACAGTTTAAGAAATTTGTGGTTTAATGGGAGTTAATTACTTTCATATATTTTATGTTCTATGTTTAATTTCATATATGTATACATTGATTTTTTGGACATATTTGGTTATCTATAGATATGCGGTTTTTTCGTTCATTCATTACACTTTGTACATTAAGGAATTATATCGATCTCGATAAGTTAAAGTTTGGACCAGTTGAAAATAGACGTGTACAGATCACCTTCACGTAATTTTTCATGCTACACATTTCATGATGAATCCATGTCATTTGGTTATGTCAGGATGAGTAATCATTGTTGGTTTTAGTTGCGATGATGCAATGAAAAGCTGGTTTGGTTCTATATCCTGATATGATTAATGGACATGACTTTTGGAGTATGTTAAAGGAATATAATGGCAATTTTGAACTCATAAAGTCTAACACATTTGTAAGGTTGTAAGAACATATATATTTGTGACCAGTGGGAGATTGTTGGCAAAATTTGGGTCATGTATATATATGATACATAATTTAAATGTGTTAGGGCCATTATTTATTAAGCCAAATAATAAAGTTATCTGACTAAATTAAAGTTTTTTGGCTAAAGGCATATGTCATGAAAATAAAATTGTGTTGAGACCATAAAGTAATTTCTAATTTGATGAGGGACCGAATTGAAAATACTAAAACTTAAGTAATTAACCTAATTCTGGTTATTTAAAGGGTCATGGTCCCCTTCTGGGAGCACACACACAAAATGTAAGTAGCAGTCCCGTTCCTTTCTTTCTATCCACATCAAGAGAGAAAATACAGGTGCTCTCCAGGTAGAAGACCATAAGATCAATAGTGCTATAAAAGGGGCATCATCATTATGACAAATTCAGGTACGCTTTCGCATTAAGTTTGAAAGTGATGAAGATCTTATTGAATTGCTTTGGCAAAGATCTTGTTGATTTGATGAAGTAAAAAATGAAGCCAAAGGCTACTTTGTGGCAGCCAAAGGTCACTTAGATAAAAGAGTAGTGGGTTTAGTGAGTCTGCATCTCTGCTTAGGTATAATCATTTTTATCTCTCTATTGCATGAGGTTTCTTCATTGAAAAGATTCTGCAATTGCCTCTAAAAAATGTTTAAACGATTAAAAACAAAGTATTTTGTTAAAATGTTTTTAATCAACTATTTTAACTAATAGTATATAAGCTTTATCAACTAAAATGTTCTTAACACTTTTGTAACAGGTTTTTAACTGATATGTTTTCAAAATAATCGATTGTTTTCATTAGAAGGATTTTTGAAAACCTTCTGCCAGTATTTTAACTGATATAGAATTGATACAATCGATTAAAATGACTTAGAATATTTTAAAAGTATTCTGGCAGAATTTTAATCGATACAAACTCGAAATAATCGATTGAAATAATTTGAAGTGGTTTGAAAGTTGCTCTGTCAAGTATTTTAATCGATACAAATGCGAAATAATCGATTAAAACAACTAAGAGGTTTTTCCAGAATGTTTTAATCGATTAAAACAAGCTTGCTATCAGTTAAAATAACTTAGAAAGTTTTATGAAATCTTTTGGCAGAATTATAATCGATTAAAATGCGTTTCAATCGATTAAAATAACTAAGTGAATCTTTTTCAAAGTGTTTTAATCGATTAAAACAGATTGTTATCAGTTAAAATCACTTAGAAAAGTTTACAAGAATGTTTTGCAGTATTTTAATCGATTGAAAGACGAAACAATCGATTAAAACAGTTTAGAAGATTTTTTATAAAGAGTTTTAATTTATATAAACAGTGTCGTATCAGTTAAAACAAATCTGGAAAATAATCAAGAACATTTTAACAAATTAAAAGAATTTTTAACAGATTAAAACAAAACTTTTAACAGATTAAAAGATTATTTTAACAGATTAAATAAACCAGCAGTTTTGAAAATCTTCTATATAAACAAGAGTTGCTTGAACTTTTTATAACACATCTTTTAGCAATCAATCAAGCAATCATAAGTGCTACTTTCAAGAGAGATTCACGCTAGTTTTTGAGAAGTTCGTAGAAGTTCTTTCTTGAGGCAAAATTGCATTCTTTTGGAGAAGAAACTCATACTGCAGAGTTGCATAAATCTGGTTTGAGCGTTCTAATTTCTTCTTTGTTTCTTTACTTTCTTTACTATATTGTGGGTGCCTGGAATTGTGGGCACTGGGTTCTGTAGCTGGAATTTGGCTGCAGGGTTGGTCAAGAACTGGAATTTGGTTCTTGGTGAAGGTTTAGGTGCAAGAACTGGAATTGTGGTTCTTGTGGTAGATTAAGTGTGAGATTAAAGTTGTAATATGTAAAACGTTCAATCTAGTGGAACCCAGCTGGAATTTGGCTGGAAACTGGACGTAGCCTTGGGATTGGGTGAACCAGTATAAATCTTGGTTGTATCTTTCTAAACCTTTCTCTCTTTTAATTCTGTCACTGCTTTTATTTTGATTGCTTGCTGTGTGTGATTCAAGAACTGGTCAGAAATCTTAATCTTTGAAATAGATAATCTGTAAATTACAAAAATCTTTCAAAGATCAATTCACCTCCCCTCTTGATCTCAGCCTTCTTTTCTAACAAAGTTTACAATATGTTTATCAGTACGAGATTACGTTTATATTTGATCATTAGATTGAATATCATAATTAATTACAATTTACCTAACATCTCTGCCTCTGATTCAGTACTATCATTTGACATTATTATTGTTGCATACCCGTCAATTGTAGTCGTTTCTTGTATCTACTTCCAGAAAAAGGTGCACAAAACAAAGAGATGAAGGGTTTCATTAAGGTTGTATATATATACACAGGCGAAGTTAGTTGTCAAAATAAGGTACAAGAAAGAGGGAGTAGATTATATAATGACATATTAATTCACATATCTCATCGGCTTTGCAGGTTCCTTCTTTAGCGTTGTAAGGATAATCATCTTCAGTGGCAATCCCACCATTATCTTTCACCCATTGGAATGATTGGAAGTGCCATCCATTGTAACAACCTTGGCTTGCGTCTACACAATCTACGAGTTCTTGTTCGGAGAGGCTAACAAGGTTTCCTGTTGTTATTGCATGTATTGCTCCTATGGTCCCGTGGCAGAAAATGCCCAACCACTTCCTATCAAAATGGTTTCACTCTCCACAAGTCATTTTCAAAGAAAAATAGGGAACAAAAAAGTTAATGCTACTAAGTACTAACAACTAAGATGTACTAAAAACTAAGCACATACACTGCCCTTGGTACTTTACTTCTGTGATGACACCATTTTTGCTCCAATCCCAGGATTCAGGTTCGTCGTGGTCACAAGAATGTTGTTCCTTCTTCATTTTCTTGCTGGCCATGTTGATGGGCTGTGCCACATCCTTCGGAGCTTGCATATACTTTTTGCTGAACTCTTCAGGAGTAAGGTCAACAAACTTGTTCAACCCCAAACAATGGGAATGGGATGATTTTCTGTTTGCATTTATGTCCCTGATAGTTCAAGTTATTCTTGAAAATCTCAAGTCTTCTTGCCTCTTCTTCGTTTGCGTAGAGCCGTCCATGCTCGTTCTTCCATAGTTGGAATAGTGGAGACACCTGTTCCTGTGTGGTGACCTAATATGGAAAAATCACTTGAGATGGCTAGAAGAGAGGCCCAAGAGGGAGAAAAGAAGAAACACAAGAAAAGCCATAACTTGGGGGAAAATTCTAAGATGTGTTAATTAAGATGGTCACTTTGTTGTAAAACTTAAATTAAGAAATATTATTTTGTTGTTTAGTATTCTTAAAATAGTATTAATGTTCTTAGGTATGAGATGTATAACCAAGAAATAAGGATATTAAATATATTTAATAGACATCATGGTTTATTTTTGACATTTAAAATGACAGTAAGAGAAAATAGAAAAATTAAAAGAAAATAAAGTGTTGTCAATATTATCAAGTGCATATCTTTGCATATATATGTACTATTACCAACAAATTAGCATCATAACTTGTGTGTGAGGTGAGCGTGAGAGAACCTACCAAGCTTCAAGAGAAAACGCTGCGGTAATAAGGATATTAAATATATTTAATAGACATCATGGTTTATTTTTGGCATTTAAAATGACAGTAAGAGAAAATAGAAAAATTAAAAGAAAATAAAGTGTTGTCAATATTATCAAGTGCATATCTGTGCATATATATGTACTATTACCAACAAATTAGCATCATAACTTGTGTGTGAGGTGAGCGTGAGAGAACCTACCAAGCTTCAAGAGAAAACACCGCGGTGTGCGCTGGCTAAGAAAGAGAGAAGAGCGACTGAGAGCTTTGTGAGGTGTGTGAGTTGAGTGCAAACACTTAGAGAAATGACAGGTCTAGCCAATAGCATCATGCTACCCAAGTTGACAAAAGGCGCAAACTATGATAACTGGAAGGTACAAATGAAGGTCATTCTCGGCTCCCAAAATAATTGGGATGTGGTCGAGACTGGGTATTAGGAATCGATAAACACAAATAGGTATTCAAATGCCCAGCTGAGCGCGTTGAAGGTTGTTCAAGCTAAAGATAAGGCGACTCTGTATCTGTTATACTGAGCTGTCGATGAATCCGACTTTGAGAAGATAGTCAATGCAAAATCTTTCAAAGTAGCATGTGATACACTCGAAAAAGCAAACAAAGGAGATGAACGGGTGAAGCAAGTTCGACTTCAAACCCTTAGGGGCAAGATGAAAAACATGAGGATGAAAAAGTTTGAAAGCGTATCCGAATTCATTACTTAGGTGGAGACCATGGTGAACGAGCTGAATCGGAATAGTGAGAATCGTTCATCAAATCGAGTTGTTGAAAAGATTTTGAGGATATTAATGGATGATTTCAAGAATATCATGTGCGCAATAGAGGAGTTCAATGACCTATCAACGCTCACCCTTGAACAACTTGTTGGGTCCCTGGAAGCGCATGAACAAAGAAGGAAAAACAAAAAGGAGTCCCTTGAACAGGCTCTCCAGGCGAAGACGACAATAAAAAGGAAGAATGTGCTCTATGCTCAAAGTACCAGAAGTCAAGGAAGAGGCAAAACCCAAGGTGGTAGAGGAAGAGGAGGACGGAGAAATAAGAAGTCAGCCAATAGAACTGACATGCACTACTACAAAATATATTTTCTACGTCGTCATTTAACGTCGGTTATAGTTGAGATGACGTAGAAAGTACTTTCCACGTCGGTTCCCAGATGAACCGACGTTAAAAGTTGAATATTAAACACATTCTACGTCGGTTTTTAGTCAACTGACGTAGAAAATACTTTCTACGTCGGTTCATATCTTTTTTTTTTCACCAAAAAATTCACTTAAATTTGAAAATTGTCATTCGAACTCAGGATTTTAGAATTAAAAACTAATACTCTAACCACTAAACTATTATAATTTTCCGATAATAATTTACAAATAAATTATATTTATATACAAATAAATATATATCCATGTAAATATATATTTATTTGTATATATTTTCTAGAAAGTATTTTTATTTTTTTTTCAACCAAAAATTCACTTAAGTTAATGAATTGTCACCGACAACATTTGAACCCAAGTATTTTAGAGTTAAAAGTTAATATCCCAACCACTAAACTACTATAATTTTTTGATAATAACTTACAAATAAATTATATTGGTATTTTTCGATCGAGGGTGAAAGTGGGATTGACTCCGGTTGAGTGAAAATATGTTAAAGCTCACTGAAATTCACTCAGTCAAGCCTCGCTTGAGCGAAAATTGGTATTTTTCGCTTGAGAGCGAATGACGCGTTTCCCAAATTTATTTTATATCATTATATAAATAAAATTATAAAGATTATATTCTGTCATTAAATTACAAACTCATATAAAGATATCTCGCTCACAAATTTAGCATCAAATTTTGAAAACCCACTCGACACACACTTTCACTTTCGAGTGTGCCCTCACATCCAACATATAAATATATAACTATATAAATATATCAAAATATATAAATATATTTGTATTTATATATTTATATATTTACACTGATATATATTTATTTGTATATAAATATAATTTATTTGTAAGTTATTATCGGAAAATTCTAGTAGTTCAGTGGTTGAAGTATCGGTCTCCAACTCTAAGATACCGAGTTTGAATCACTGCCAATGACAATTCTCTTAAAAAATTAATAAACTTATAAAAAATATAATTTAAAAAGATGAAGGACCAAATAAAAATATAATATAAAGAGAGGGAATACTTTAAGATAAATAAATGGGTAAATGGGTTGTAAATAAATAAAAATTATTAATTTATACATAATATAAAGAGAGGGGAGACTTCAAGATAAATAAAGGGGGTAAATAAATAAAAATTATTAATTTATACAACGTCGGTTCAACAACCGACGTTGAAAGCTTTATTTCTAGTAGTGATGGTAAAGGGGTTGTAAATGTGAACCGACGTTGAAAACTTTATTTCTAGTAGTGATGGTAAAAGGGTTGTAAATAAATAAAAATTATTAATTTATACATAATATAAAGAGAGGGGAGATTTCAAGATAAATAAAGGGGGTAAATGGGTTGTAAATAAATAAAAATTATTAATTTATACAACGTCGGTTCAACAATCGACGTTGAAAGCTTTATTTCTAGTAGTGATGGTCAAGAGCAGGCTCAGGATGACTGGACAAATACAAACAATATTAAATGCTAACATGTTAATCGGTAGTATTAATGATCTTACACCTGAGTTACATAACCAAAAAATATAAGAAAATATCATAATTTATTTTTGACATTTAAAAAGACAAATATTTTACTGTTACATATTTATAACAAATTATTTGAAATAATAATAACAAAATAAAGGGACTAAAAGAAAACAAATTACTGTTATTTAGTACATATTTGTGTATGTACTGGTACCTGTAAGTACTATATGATATATTTAGTGACCGACGAATCCCACTGGTTACTATTTGGTTATGAATTAATTTCTGATACGTAATTGAAATGAAATGTAATTTGGGTTAAAAATCAGCAGGGAATAACACTGACAATTTTTTTTTAATATTTTTGATAAAAACTTTTGTATTCTTTTGATTATTGTGGGATATCTATATAGTGGGATATATATATATATATATATATATATATATATATATATATATATATATATATATATATGTATATATATATATATAGTGATCTCTTGCTTATTTATATAACAAAATGGGTGGTATAAAATGAAAGAAACAGTATATATCCTTAATTTTGTTGCATGCGACTGCACTTGTGTCTGATCACACATACAAATAAAAAAGGTATTGAATATTGCAAGCCCTAAAGTGTTAGTCATGCTTTAATCTGCGTACACGTCCTGGTGAATGTTGAATCTGTGATAAGCAGCGAATCTCATAAGATAGAGGCACATCACCTTCATCAGCGTAACGTGTTGTGATGATAACCTTACACACTCCTGTGCTGTATGTTATTTTAGTTTGAGTTTTAGCCACAACAAAGGCACCAAGAAAAGTTTTTCTGCTCTTTCCTAAATGAAGAAAAGATAGATTCACACTTCATTACCAACGAACTTTCATTCAACAATTTTATTTATTAATAAAATAATAATTTTTAATTAATTTTGTTTTAAAGTAATCACTTTGTAAATATAATATTAACAAACAAAGTTATATATTAAGTATTTTTATCTTTTTCGAAAATATCAACACTCTTTTTCTAAACAGGGTCATATTATGCATTATTCACATGACATCTTGTATATCATGTTTTTTTTCCTTTTAATTTCATTATATTTTATATTCTATAAGTATAAAAATATACCAACAACATTTCTGTCATTTCACATCAATACCCTAAAAGTATATATACATTTTATAAAATAAAGTTTATAATTAGATTTTTATAAACCAATCTCAAACATACAAAAGTGATCCAATTCAAATATTTTAATCTAAACATCGATAATAATTTTCAATAAATCCAGAGAACAAATAATTATACTCATACTCAATTCGAATATTCTCGGTCTTAATAATACTTATGATAAATTATCAAACTCAGTTAAATATAAATAAAATGAGAGTTAAACATTTTATTTCTTATGCCTCAATTTTTTTAATCAAATTGTCGTAAAATATATTTTTTAAATGTCTATCTTTCCTTGCTCGTTATAAATAAGGCATAATTTTATTATTATTCTTTGATAGCAAGTGGTTTCTAAATTTTTAATTAATTTTAATTTCATTACATCATTAACATTTACAATGAAGTTTATAAGCATAAAACATATTAATTTCGAGCATATATATATATATATATTCTTTGATTGGCTACGTAAGTGAATAGCCAAAATAACTTTTTTAAAATGTTTACAAGTTTAAACATCAAA